TTATATCATTCAGTAAAAGTATTGATATCATTTTTATAGTGTATATCAAATTACAGATACATAATTGATTGAGAAACAAACATTTAAATTGGATAAAACATTAATATAACTCACTTCATTTTAATGTAATTTTATATATATTCTGTCACGTTAGATATTGATAGGAAAAAAAGGTGTATCTCTGGATTTGTAATTTCTAAGTGGTAAAAAAAAAAATACAAGAGGTACGTTGAAGAATAGTAAAAAGTTCAAAAATTCTTCAAGATCGATTTGGTTGTTATAAGTTGAAAACAGTGACCGAAATTAACCAAAATCCGTAAACTTACGATGAATACGTTGGAATTATATTAATCAAGAACATACTAATTAAAGCCAACCATAACTATTTTCATTAGAGGCTATTAAAAACTTTTTCCAATCAGAAGTATTCATAGAAGATACAAGAATATAAAATATAATATATTTAATCTCAAATACTAAAGATCAAAACTTTATATAATAAATGCAGATGACTTAAAATAGGCACTAATCGTGAAGCTATTAATAACTATATTACAAGTATTAACAAATCAGGACAAAGAGAGCGAAAATTCACTATAATGAGAATTATCCACCAATATTATTACAAGCCAGATCAAAAGGTGAATTAATTACTATAGTGATAAAATATATGAACTGATGTTTACATTATTACTTTTTTATATTAAAAAAGTATAAATCGTTATTTTTTTTTATTTTATATAGTGTTTTTTTTTATGCTACGCATAATTTATTTAGAATGTATGAATTTTTTATAATTTTTTTTTTTTTTGATACACGATCAAAATAAGCACATACTAACGATTATCGATTTCATGATCTCTAAATATGAAGGTGAGATATATTCATACAAATTCTTATAAGACACAACAAAAAGTCACTTTATATCCATCTTAAATTGTTGGAAATGTGCACGTGCATATTTTGCCAAATTGTGTGTGCGCGTCCACGCGTGTAACCCCAAAGATTCAATAATAATTAAATAAGGAATCCGTAAGTAACCAAAAAATATCATATAACACATATATAATATATTCTTAAGTTAATATACAAGGCTCATTCAGACATAGCTATTAGACAAAATCATCTTCCACAAGGCTCTTTAAAATGTATAAAATTAACTGTTAGCCGATATATATGCAAGCTTACAATTTAAAAGAGGTATGATCTTAAAAAATATCTATAATTTACACATTAGACCTAATTAAAATTCACCAATGTACAGATAAATATGTACCTTTAACGTAAAGATAAATATCTCATTATAGTATACTTGATGTGGCTTTATCTTACAAAGCGCAACAAGAATGTGGATAATATATATATATTTAATAACAGGTCTAAACGATAAATATTACAGAATCTCTGATGACTTAGTGTGACGCCCCTGGGTTCACACTAAGCTGAGCCCAAGTAAATCCAAAAATGTCAAAACCTCATACACCACAATGCAATAAACATGTTCACCATCACAATGTATTATCTCTTTGAGTCAAATAACAGTTGTAGTACAAAAACAAGTAAAGATATACAAGAGTCAACTGATGAAATAATATATCAAATTAGATACTTCTTCATCTAACATATAAAGTGCCAAGTCAATGTATTGAAGTGAATAGCGTGAAATCTGACAAGGTCTCAGTACAAATGTTCTGAATAAAAGGAAATAAGTCACACACCTTTACAACATCTAGGAATAAACTCCAAATATCTAACAAGCCTACGTGGAGCCTCAAAGTAAAATGATAACTATAATAGCATATAACTAGCTAAATATCATCTCATCACTTCGATCTCTCCAGGCTCCTGCTCGTTACCTGAAAGGGGAGCGACACGAGCTTGTCAAAGCACTAGCAAGCCAACATCAAAACCAACCCAAGGAAAAGGCTGTGTATACAGAAAAACAGTTATACATAATATAGATCACAAATCCTATTTAGTAATCAATGTGACATAAGTACGCGAGTCAAACATAATCAACAAGGAAACCCCATGTATATACCATGTAGTCAGATTGTAATACCTATGTATACGAGATTTTAGTATTTGGAAGTTACAACATGAGCATAGGTACGTCTGAGCGAATAATCCAAAAAGGAAACTCTATGTAATACCTTGTATCTTCAAATTGTACATCCCAAAATACAAACACAAAATCTAATACAAAAACATTAATAAAGCAAACTCATCTCAGCTTAATTACGTGTCGTGTCACAACTGTTATAAATGTCATATCCAGCCTATGTAAGTGTCAATGTAAACCTCAAGTCTTAAAACTGATGTAATGGTGTAACACATGACTGCAATGAAAACTGTACCAAACACATGAACTAATGATAAATACAACACATAACTACATAAATGCCCAAACATATGGACTAGATGAAATATATGAACAGCCACATACGCCTATTTTCTCACGTGTCTCGATTGCGCAACCTAAACTCTGTCGCATGTATTCCATATAATGATACATGTTATAATAAATTATAACTCTCATCTAGTGACTGACTCGTTCATTATTAAACGTACGCAACAACAAGTAAAACAAACCACATACAGTTTAGTGAAACCGAAAAGAAACTCAAACAGATCCACTGAATATACCTAAAAATCTCTCATTAGGTCGACCATGAGTAACTATGATCTGGTCAACTTTCCCCTTTCTGCCCCGTCTCTGATAATCTACTCTTTGGTCGACCAACAAAACACAACTAGTTTCCCCGAGCACCAACAAAACACAAATGAATTTTCCCCATACAGCGATTCATGGGACTACATTAGTCACTCATGAGTCAACTCATTGTCACTAAGCAGAAAATCCCAATTTTATGTTGGTTTGAAAATTTTCTACAAAATGTTATAAAAACTAGTGTCTCTTTGATCTGTCCAGCCAATATATATCTGTCTAACACATGGTATTTAACAGAAACGAAAAGATGCATGAATATTTGCCTAATAACCCTTAAACATATTTCCTCATCGTTTAAACGATATGAAACATTAAATCACAATAAAAATCATTTTAAACAAATTCCAATCTGATCTTAATTTATAAATCGATTTGTCAGCTTTTATAAACTGAAAACATTCGATTTTCGCCATCATAGCTATAAAAGATCTATTTATACGCAATTATTAATTTAGCTCAAGAAAACCAAAATAAAAATCAAATAAAACTATAACACAGTGGTGTAGGGCTGGGCGAGATGTTACCGCCTCGATATGATGCATCAAACTCCTGATCGCCAAAACACATCTCCTCCGCCTGCATGCCACGAAATCCCGGCAGAACTACTTCGAAGAACTTCCTCAAACGTCAAAAATCCAGCTAGGATTTGAGAGGCAGAGATAGGGGCTAGGTTGGTTCTGAATGTGTTCTCGGGTAGAGATATTCATATATGAGGGTAGACCGATACAAACAGAACAGACCCGCAAACAAAAAACCCGAAATCAGTCCCGCGTCGACTCATGGTCGACTTCATCAGTCGACTCATAGTCGACTGCAGCATACATTATTCCATATTGTGCCAGTTTTGTTATTTCAGCCAAAACCAATGCATAACTCTATGAAACCACACTTATACATGCTTAGAAACTGTACACAGTATACCATGACTCAAACGTTTACCACAAATAGAACTATTTATCATTAATAGTGACATATAACTTCTAACAAAAACGGGGTTTTCCAGTTAGACATTTACAAAGGTAACACAGTTTGACGCAGTGAAACTCTATTAGGTGCAACTAGAACAAGATTTTATTGTAGAAAAATAGGTATCAACTCCTAATTTAACTTACATCATAATTAAAACAC